TTGCACCCAATAACAGAAAGAGTCACCTGAAATACTATCCGACTGGAGAGTGTCTATATGTTTACTGCCAGGCAAACCAACCTCTAAGTGGATTTTGAAAATAATCCCATAGTTGTTTTATTACTTACATGAAGCTACCTTCTCCTTTAAGGTCTATTTGAGAAAATCTACAGAAAACATATTGACTCAGCATTCGTTCTGTTTTGGCTTGTTTGTTTTGTTTTTTTTTTTAATTGAGTTACTACAATGTGATTTTTTAAACTCTAAGATAAAAGAATGAAACCTATGAAGGAATTATTTTAGGCATGCATTTTATATTTAAARAAAACCTGCAATGTATTGAAATATTCTCATTAATTAATTAACTAATTAATTTCTCATTAATTTTATCACTGGGCATTGAAGTGGGTTATGTACATATACACARTAAAAGGAAGAAATATCTGGTTTTCCCCCCTAAATCATACTGGTTAATTAAAACAAGATTTTGTGGTCATAAGGTCTCTGTCAACAGATTTCTAACCATGTCTTGTGTGTTAAAAAGTCACGCATTGAAGAAAAAAAGGCATCTTACTAGTACCTATAATGTTGTGCCTATTTAAAATAGTACAAATATTTAAAACTAGATCCAGCCTTATGGGTTTGATTTTTTTCTTTTTTTTTTTTTTTTTTTGTTTTTTTATTTTTTTTTTTTTTTTTTTTTTTTTTTTTTTTTTTTTTTTTTTTTGCTAATTTTAAAGATGCTTTAAAATGCATTCAAAGTGTAATAGTTCGCGGCTCATTTACTCTGTTTTAAATATCTTACATATTTTAGCCTTTTTAATTTTCACCTCCTGGTTATCTTGAAAATTGTGAATACTAGTTGTAAGAACARCCACTTCTTGTATTTTTCTACCTGAAGTATTGCCTCAATGCGTCTGAATGTCAGGGCTCATTCTAACAACCACATCTGTGGAAATGAGTGGTGCATAGCACTCGACCAGATCAGATCTCAACAGATAATTATTTACTGCCAAACACACACATAGCTTTTTATTTCACTGACTTTCTTAAAGAAATTTGATTTTGTATAAACAATATTTACTACCTAAATGCTGAGAATTTTTTTTCCCATGTTCTTAAAAGTTTTCCACCTTTTACTGCCAATTCAAAAGACTATTATCTGGGAAATCAGTAAGTGTAGTACAAGTAAGACTTGGTACTTCTCATTGCAGAAGTTACAGAATTATGCACAGGGGTGGGAGAAATCAAAAGAGTTACCTTACTGTACAGATATTGAAAGATCTTCTAGTAAATTGAATTCCTTCTCAAGCCTACATTTCCCATGCAAAGCAGGTACTTGACTTCTTTCAAAGATTTTGCAAATGTCGACTACTTTTTAGCAYTTTGTTTTCTGAATAGCCAGGATGAAACACAAAGACAGAACAACTGATGTGATGATAACCTCCATGCTATGCTGCAGAAATTGTCACTGAAAGATATCAAACCTAGCCAGGATACCCAGAATATGCATCAGACTAAATAATAGTATTTATCCTATTTACCCAAATCTTACATGCTCTGTGAAATATAATTAGTTTGTTATGAGACACTCAGAAATCACACGTAGCACTTCTATTAATGGCACTTTAGGGAAAAAACTTAAAAATCATCTTTGGTCTCCAATGGATAAAATTAAATAAAATCAAACCTGATTAAATAAATTAGGTGAAAGATATTTAAAAATGTTCATTTCAGCAGATGAAGGTGGGACTCTAATAAGTGGAAAACAGTCAGTAAATCYTCTGTCTCTGGATTTTGTCTTTCGCTGTCTGCTTTCAAGTTTAGTAGACGTGTTGATGCAAATCTTACAATGATGTTAGTTGTTGTCTTTTAGAAGCAATTGCATCTTTCTGTTTTGACAAAAGGTCTGTTTGTAGCAATGTCCATTTTATCCACATTTATACAGGCTTAGAATGCATGTCCATGGATCYGGGGCAGCAAGAAAATGAATCTGCCTGTGATAGCAACGTTGGCCTTATCAAAGGTTTCTGGCCTTTACAAGTCATACTCTTCCTTATTTCTTCCCCTTTTTTTTTTGGCCCCAACAGAGAGATGTCATTTCTTTTAAAAGGCAACAGCCAACATTGTTGTAAAATTTGTATCAGACATCTACTAAACTTGAAAGCAGACAGCAAAAGACAAAATCCAGAGAAGGAAGATTTACTGATTTAAGAAGGACAGTACTATCCTATCTTTTAACATCACGTCTCTCTTTAAAAACAAATGTCAAATTTAAGARCTAATTCATTTGCCCTATTCTTAAACTAGTCATAGCTCATTCCCATAAAGACACTGCTTCTACCACTAACTTTTCCTCTGATGGAAAGTTGTCACAGCATCTGTTCATCTGCCAACTGTGCAGCATCACTAACAAGCAAGGGAAGACCAAGACATGGAAGAGACGACCAGAGCTATTCTGAGCTGAGCCCAGCATCAACTTCACCTATATTGTGGGCACAAATTCCTTTCTCTTCTGCTCCCAATCCCCTCAAAGAACAACCAAACCCATGGTATTATTTTTCACTAAACTGTATTTTTATTGTGGGTTTAGAGGCGCCATGAATAAAACTTTGCTTAAATTCCTTAATTCTTCCCACCCTCTAGACATGTTATTTCTTATATCACATGAGGGAATGCTGCACCTTCTTGTTCTGGCCAGAACCTGACTGTCCTCTCTATTGATTTTAAAGGAGAAGTAGCATTATTTAACTAATTCTTTCCTGAGGAAACATAATAGCCACATGGGCTGCTGACATAAATAAAAGTGACACAAAGAATCATTAGCTAAGACAACAATTAGAATTTACACAAGGATTTCTTTTTTATTCATAATTTCTTCCATTTTTTCTAGCCCTATTCTTTCTCCTTCTGCTCACAGCTCGTTTATGCAATWACCTTACACTAAAAAACAAAAAATCAAAACAACTGCATGTGGTAGAATAAAAGTCATTCCTGTATCTGAGATTTCAGARTTCTAAGAAGACTCCAAAAAAGGGGACAGCTTGCTTCATTTCTTGGAGTAACTTGGTCAAACACAAAGAAAGAGAAACTTCAAGATAAGGGACTACTCAAAACTAAGCAGAGAGCATGCTTCTTCCTGTAGCTAAGGAAAACACTGGTTTGTTCTTTTGCCAAGCATCCTAACACAGAGACACACATCACCTCAAAGCAAAAATCCTGATTCTATTCCCAGACTAGAAACTCTAACTATAGAGTGTTCTGCAAATACTTAAAGCAGCCTGTTTGCTTTACAAAATCTAAAAAAAAAGGTACAAACCCCCTGCCACCACTACTTGCTCAAAGTCCAAAATGTGAGGTCAATCACAGTGCTAATGCATTAGTAACCAGCCTTAATAGCTACAAAGACATTTAAGAGATTTCTTTTTCTACATACTGTTATTACCTATCAGGAGCAGTCTGCTGYCTTGAAAACAACACTTACCTTGTGTCACTCAATAGTGAAAATCCTATCTTGATATTAAAGGTTTAAAACTCATTCACTATGAAGAAAAGTTTTATTTACATGTAGAATTCAATCATATACTGGGCTAATTACAACTGCTTATCTAACTTTTCCTTACTCCTCCCCAATCCAGATGCAGGAAGCATTAAAAAAAATTCATGGCTACACACAACTCTGACACTTGTTGTAGATATCAAATACTGAAGAATAAAATAAAGGTTATGAAGGTTCAGCACATACTTCGGCTAGTCAGGTGGTATAGAAGGATGATTTTTCCTTCTGTTTGTACCTAATCCTACTGCAGACGGACTCAGATTCTTGCCGGTGTTAAAAGTTGCAGAAATCTTCTTATATAGTTGAGAAGGTACTTTACTTGCCATAGTAAAAGTTCTATCTTGAAATAATCTGTAAACAAATCCCCTCTTTAAACCATTTGTCTCTGAAGATATGTGCAGAGCGAACAATTTTGTCCTAGTACAATTATTTAAGAAGTTTTCGGAAAAACTAAGTTAAGCAGGCTTAAACTGAAGCAGTGCTAAAGGGAAGTTTGACTTGTAGTGTAGCCTCACAGTGCTCAAGGGCTTGTAAATACAGAAAATTAAAATCAAGAGATTACAGCAAACCATGGGCTGYTGTAAGTCTATAGCTCTGCCATCTTTTTGCTTTTTGTTGAATTAAGAGGAAGGTATCAACAGCAGTCTGTATCCAAAACATCTGAAACCCACCAGCACCGAATAATTACTAGCTTGAGAAAAAATATTAAAATAGTTCATAGACAAAGGAAAAGAACACTGAAAAATTTAAAATGCTGTACTGTTTATAAGTTTTTGCTCAGTACGGAGGTAGACTTCATAAATTTTTTTGTACTATGGCCCAACTCCAGTMATAGGAATGAAAGGAACCAGTTAAATATTATGGAGGAGCAACTAGTGCGAATAAAAAGCAGCATGTTTGACAGTATCTGCAGAGATAGATATTTCAGAGACTTGCACAGGGCTAAACATACATAAACATTTTGATGTTTGTATTTGATCAAACAGTACATCTTACCAATGGCCAGCAGGAAAACGCGGTAGMTGCCCTATGAAAGCATTTACCTTAAACACCTGAGCACCACGGCACGGTCCGCCCTGTGACTTTGTCCCTTTCCCCTTTGTCCCTTCGCGTGAGAGAAACTTGCTCTTTGATCCTTACCATTCACTCCTCAAGAACATTCCAGCTAACACGATACCGGTTTCGCGGTAGCGCAACTACTGTTTTAACAGGAAAGTGACTTTTAGTGCTTCGACTCTCCGGCCGACGAGCCGAAGCCCCCTCTCGTCCGGGGACGCCGGCGGGACGGGGCCGAGTGCCGCCGCCGCYGCGGGCCCGGGAGAGCCGCGTCCCYTTCCCCATCCCCGCGCCCGCMGGAGGAGCCGGTTCCGGTGGCACGGCCTGCTGCCGGCCCCGCTCCAGCCTGCAGGCTGCGGGACACCCAAACCTCGATGCGCTTCACCTGCGGCCACGGGTCTGGCGAGGGGCGCTCGGGTCCTGCAGCCCGAGCTCGGCCGGGGCCGCCGCTCCGCGGGGACACCGCGCTCCCCTTCCTCCAAGCCGGTCCCGAGGAGAGGACTGCCTGCCGAGGCTCGCCTCCGACCGTAGGAAGCGAGAGTGGTCTCTCCGCGACGGCTTCGGGCTCCGGGCAGGAGACCACTGGGGTGGAACTATGCCAGCACATCCCGCACCCACGGCTCCGCAGCGCGACCTCGTCCGTACCTACAGCGGYGGACGGGAGAGCCGGGAGAGCTGCGGCTTGGCTTGGCTGGGCACGGCGCTGCGGCGGCTGTCCCCGTGCCCGTGCCCGTCCCCGCTGCCGCACACCTACCACTGCCACCGCCTCTGCCTCTGCCACCGCCTCTGCCGCGGAGGAGCGGCCACCGCCACCCCACACGCTGCCCGCGCCCGCGGGGGACACGCCTCGCCCTGCCGGGACGGGGGGGCCGCCCTGGGCCGGGGCCAGCCCCGACGGCGGCCTCAGCCTCCCCGCTCCGGCCGCCCCCGCTCGCCTCCCTCCGCACCCCTCCCGGACCTGCTCCCGGCCAGGCCGGTCCCGCGGGCACCGCTCTCGCCGCTCGCTCCCCCGCCGCGCTGCCCCTCAGGAGCTGCTCCCCTCAGGAACGCAGTGCACCGAGACCCGCCGCGGGCTCCGCGGGGCAGCCGGGCCCGACACCCCTTCTCCGAGGGCCAGCCTCCGACTGGCAGCGGGATCCCGGCCGGGAGCGTGTCCCTCCCGCAGGTCCCGGCCGCAGACCCGCCCCTCGCCCCCGAAGCTCCGCCAGGCCCCGCGGGGCCCGCGCAGTGCGGGGCTGCCCGCCGATCGCTCGGGACCACCGGCCGGGCAGAAGCCCCCGCAGCGAGCCCTGGGGTCTCCGGGCTTGCACCTATCGCCACAGCAGCCGGCGACAGGGGAGAGCTGCTCTCAGGGTTTGGGTTTACAGACTGTTCACATGGGGGGTGTACACGTCCAGACGCAGAGAAGTATGAATAACGTCTACCAGTTCAAAACCATACATTTCAAACACCAGCCTTCCAACGCTCAATGTTCAGCAGCTTTTGCCACTTCGAGTTTATTTTRGAGCAAGCAGCAAGATACTGTAGCCTACGCAAGACCTGAATGCCATTGATACTTCTCTGCAGCTCTTACGYAGTAGGACAACCAAGTCTTAATTTATTTTTCTTTTAAACTCAAATGCCTTCTTTTTTGTATGCATAGAAAAAATATTGCTCATCCGACCTGACAGTACAGCTGGGAGACACGGTCAAACTTTAGGACCTAACTCCTTGTGGCTGAAAAGAAGCAGCAAAATGCAAGATTAAAAGTAAAGTGACTATTAAAGTGACTAAAATTTTTTAAGTAATCCTTTGGATTGGTTGAGAGTAAAGGAAGAGAACATCGTTGTTGCAGAACAGGGAGATGGGTGGGTTTTGTATYCTGTTACTCACGGAAAGTCAACCCTCACAATTTCTCTCCAGTGGTGTTTCACTCACAATCCGAGTTTTGGCTAGAAGCTCAATACAGAAAAGCTWAAAACACATTTAAAGTGTGACCTGTGAAATAACTTTTCCATTTGAGATAGTCAACTCTGAACTTTTGTTCCAAAAATTACACAGGCATGCACTAATTAAAAATCACACTAATTTCCAAATTTAGCTACATTTACTTTTAATACATGATTTTATAAAGCTGTGATGAGGCAAATATAATTTTCTTTATTCCAGTTCTGGTTTGTACTCTTATCAAAAATCTTTGTATAGAGTAATTTTCAGTATTTCCTTCTGTGCTTTGTTAATTGCACAGCGCCATGTTCTTTTATGCAGTGTTCTCACAGCAATTTGAAACATTCTTTTGAAATTAAAAGAAGGCAATTGTAAACCCACAAAACTGACAGAGCAACTATTGAGATAAAATCTTCAGGTGCCTAGCTAAGAGGATTTTAAGTTATGCACATRTGGACTGCTTTTGCTTTATGCCTTCTGTAAAAGATGGCTCCACAGAGAAAGTTTGCTGACTTGAGATAGCTGTTAGTTCCCTGCTTTTTTCACTGCCAAACTGACTGCAGATTTTTTACCAATTGTAAAATTATGCCATTTTAATCAYCTTTTGCTTGATGAGAGAGGAAAGCAATATGTGCTACAAAAGTAGTCCCTCAGTGATTTACTCTACAGCCAAGCAAGTCTTGAACAGACCTCCCAGTACATATGAAATTTGTTTTTGCCTGTGTCAGAGCATCAAAACTCTGTTCATTTCTGGTGGTGGGAGCTGTTGCTCAAGTGTTTTTCATGGCATAGACAATATTCGCACATGTTGAGCAGGCTTCTGCTTCCAATCATGATTAATAAAGTCTTTCTGTGTGAAAAACACAGAATTTGCTTGCTTTAAAAATAGCATTGGGACAGTAGTCTATAAACACCTCGGTTGCAGGGCTCCAACTGTAGTGTCCTTTGCCAAAGCCTCTTGGAATAGACAAAAGGACCACCAAACCAGGGTGGATTATCAGAAGAGAAAAGCAAAAACAGCCACATAAGGCTGAAAAATATGAAGCTGGTTATATAACTTTTCAGAGATWTTYGTATGCTTAGTGAATTGATATACATCTGTAAGTGTCTGCAGATTCACTGGRTTTGTAAAGTATTGTCTGTGTTACTTTTACACCTTTTATTGTCCATGCATACTGTGATTCTCTTGTCTAGTCCAGTAAACCTAATCCTTACTCTGTGGTARAGTTGGGACCATACCTGCTTGTTGATTCACACGATTTATGATGTGTTAGGGATTCATGTTTCAAAGCACTTTGAAGATCATCAGCTAATTTTTTATAATAATTATTATTATATATCTGTTGACTGGGGGTGCTTATTTGAATTTTTTTCTGTTGGTTTATTATTTTTTTTTTCCAGAGGTTCATGACAGCACAGCTTTCTTACCTTTCAAATAATTTTAAGATATATGTTAAATGAAATTCCAAACTGAAACTACACTCAGTTATATTGAGTTTTTCTCCATCTCTGGCCAAACCTGAAAGCTTTCAGACTCTTTAAACCTGTAGATGAAATGAGAAAGACCAAAAGAACTTCAAAGAGGGGAAAAATTGGAAGAAATTGTTTACTGTGAGGTGGTGAGATACTTGAACGGGGTATCTCACCTTGCCCAGGGAGGTTCTGGAAGTCCCAAATCTGGCACTGTTCAAGGCCAGGTTGGATAAGACCTTGAGCAACCTGGTCTAGAGGGAGGTGTGACTGCCCATGGCAGGGGAATTTGTCAGTCGGTGATTTTTAAGCTCCATTCCACCCCCTTGACATCTCATGATTTTATTAATATATTAGAAGGATAGTTGTATTCTTTTGCTGAAAACCATCATATGACTTCAAGGAATAAGCTGAATAGCATGTGTATTCACCTAGTGTTTAAAGATTAAATTGTCCAAACCACATTATTTTTAGAAGCACCTACAAATCCACTGACAGAAGTTTTTATCTTAATATACGTTGTAGGGCTTGAAATACTGCACATAGCTTCTTTTGCCTTTCTCTGTTGAAAGTTAAAGTTCTAAAACCTAAATTCCAGGGTCTGGATTCGCAGAGTATATATTAATGCCTCTTCTTCACACCCATGTAACTTCTTGAATTCAAGGACATAACTATTGAAGCAAACTGTTCTTTGAAAAGTCACCCACTGCTGCATTGTGCAGGTAAGGAACAGGTCTCACTGAGCTGGCTGAAGTAGCCTAACGAGTCACGGGTGTGGCTGGTCAGGGAACTACAGAACGACGATACTGTCCTCACTAGCCAGAAACAAGGAGCAGCCCTGAGAAGGGCACTGCTCAGCTACAAGAGCTTTATGCTAACCTCCTTCACAGACAGAAAGGTTCCCCTGTCAAGTTTGGAAACTTCTGGGTGATGAAGACAGTGGAGGGGATGGCATTGTAAATTACAGTTCTTCCCCTGGGTTGCCTAAATTCTCWGCAGCACACCACCTCCTGTGCATCAAGATCTGAGATGGTGCAGGGTAAGCCACTGGTATGTTCTCCTTAGGTAAAACTGGAAGTTTTACGCAGTTCTTGCTCTTCCCATCAACTTTGCAATGAAAGAGTAGACGTAAGACCTCACTCAGAATTAGTATATTCTAGTTATTATACCATGAGAACGGCAAATATAGAGGAGGTAGAAAAAAATCTTCAGTAGTTTTTCTGGCAATGTTTAAGTAGTTATTTCACAACATATTATACAAAATTAATTTTTACTCTGACTTTTTTATGCCTTCTTGAAAGAGAAAAGGCAGCCCAGAATGACACAGAAAACTTCTAAGCCGTTCAGCAGTGCCATGACACTGCCATCTCTCCCAGTTTTATCCCGTACAGTCATGACTGATTTCCCCTTAAAATTTGATAGAAAGTACAGGGTTAAATTGCATATTAAAATATATTGTATAAATACAAAATTACATTTTCCTTAAAATTACCTGTTWGTCTGGAACAAGTGGTTTATTTCATCAGTGAATCAAAAATTCATATASGTTTAGAGTTTTACTTCTGTTTTTCAAGAGYATCTTCTTTTGATYTGAAAATTCCAMCATTTTCTAGCCAGCTATATCACTRTACTGAAGGATTCAATAGCAGTAATATCTTAAAACTAAAAATTACTAAGAACTTTTCTTCATAATCAAAACACAATGTTTCTTTATTCTTGTATGAGCTTTTTTAACCTAACCCCTTGATTTGGAGGGGAAAATGAAAAATGGCTTAAGATTTTTAAAAGCCTTGKATTAGCAAAAAGGTGTAGGAGTCTATATTTGGAATTCCTGTTTAATGGGAATTAACTTTTTTCTTGTATCTCCTTTTTCTTTTTTTTTTCTGTTTATTGGGAAAACTAATAAGTGATAAAAAGTGTGGTGAAGACTTTAATAAAATTRTTAATAAAATTCAGAATCTCAGATCTATACAAGAAACTCCAGGTTCTGCGGCAATGCTAATCCAATTTGAGACAATTGTAAGTGTTATTGAGTGATAAGAAAGAGCATGAGATACCTTRTCTGCTGACTTATCTGCCCTATTCCTTTCCTCCAGCCCACCTCACTTCCCTGCTACCTTCACACGGACCAYAGACACTGCAAACATGCCAAAAAGAAGTGAATTCAGGGGAAAGTAACTTGCACATTTACAGCTTTTTCCAGGAAATATAGAAGATGCATGCAGAGACCAAGAAAGTGCTGCTTAACCTTGTACTGGCTGTTTTGGTAGAATATTTGTTTGTCTGGGGCTCTTTGATGCTCATTTGTCTTTCATTTATAGGTAAAGGAGACATTGTTTAGTGAAATTAATAACATCACCTGTAAGATGAAGGCATAAATAGCAGATGTCAGCTATCTCTCAATGGCCAGTTGTTTAACTGTATCAGTGACAATATGTAAATAATGAGAATTTGAACTGAATCTCCTGCCAGGCTGCCGAGTGGCAGGTGATCTCTGATAGATTGCTTTTCAGTTATACTAATGTGCCTCTGACAGCTTCCCATTGAACTTACTAATAAAGAGCAGTTTGCTGCTGCTCTTCTATCCCTTTTTATACGAGGGTAAGGCAATTCTCTTGTCGGCAGCTAAGCACCATTTGGCATGACTACCAAATTTTGCATGGCAGACGACATGCAGTGAAGATTTTCCTTTGTTTTTTTACTGGATACCTGAAATGGAGAATATTTCTAGTGCTTTAAAGTAGAACAAGAGCTAGAAAGCCACGTGGATAAAATAACAGAAGCTGCCCAAAATGAAAGTATTTCCTTYGTGTAGAAAATAAAATCCTCACAGAAAACTCTCCAAACTTAATTAACAACCTAATGATTCTTGAATTCTGCCTCTTTGAAGAGTTGCAGCATTCAGCATTTGTTTGGTTTGCTCTGCTTTGCGCTAAAAGTTGAAGGACTTCTATGAGGTCAAAAGCAAGAGTTTTGACCTGAAAACTCCTAGCTGATTCTTCTTAAGAGTTTAAACCCCTCATAAATATATAYTTTATTATACTCTTACAGAAGCATTAAGAGCTACTGCAGATGTGTCAAATTTAGTGACAGTGTGTTTGAGGTTGACCACTACATCGGAAATTCATCCGCAAACCAAGACTAGAAAATGAATTAACTTCCTTATACAATTCAGTGAGGAACTTGTGGGTTACTATTTCCACAAGCTTACTTAATTAAAAGAGCTCCATCTCTGTGTTTTCTCCTTTTTTTTCAGACAACAGTTTGACAATTTTTTTGTGCTTTGCTTCTAGAATAGTTACATAAGTTACAGCACATTTTATCATGGAAAAAAAAATGCATGAAAGATAACATGAAAGAAAGATATATMCATGCATGTGTTTGTAAATATCTGTTCATATGGACTTGACATGAACAGTTATCAGAGTGAACTACTGGGCTGATAATCTAATAGATCCATCCWTGTAGGTTTTCATTATCTACGTGTCTGTAAAATTATGGTGTCAGTTTTCTGCCATTTTGAAAAATTAAATTGCTGTAAGCTCCAGTGCCCTGAGTGTGTAGGTAGAAATCAGAAGGAATACGTGGATCAGCTGCACTATTTTTCACCTACAAAGTGCTAGATAACTGACATTAAGTATGGCCTCATTTTACTGGTGAGGAATCTTAAGATCAGACAACAGAGATAATTTGTGTGAGGACATACAGTGTCCTAAAACTGCCTCTTCTGTTTTTTACATTAAAATAGAGACCCCAAGAGCCTTTCTGTCTTAAAGGACAGAAGTTTTGTGGTAGAGTGAGTCAGAATGAGGCTTTCACACCTGCTGTGAACTTTTATCTGCATTGAATGACCACTGAAGATGGTCAAGAGGATAAGAGTAACAACTGCTTAACACTGATAGGTGAGTGATTTTTGGTATTGTGTGGTTCTGAAACTGAAGGTCAGAAACCATGCTCCTGACKTGAGCAACATTGGTGTCTGAGTTACAGAGGCAGTTTTAGGAGAACCCTACTTGTGTCAGGGAAACTGTGATACAGRAATTCTCTGATTTGAGCAAAGAAGATTGCTAGACCTTGTTTAACTTGGTTTAACTACATGGGTTTCATCAGCCTGCCAGCACCACTGATTCGGAAGCTCCTGCTCATGTTAAATCAGGAAAAGACTTTCTAGAAGGATATAATACAAGATTCACTTGTGTCTTCAAGCGAATCCGTTACAGAGCAAATTTACCATTATTGCTTGTGTTAGGCTTTGTCTGCTTGTACAGGTCTAAGCATGGTATCTGTGCTTTACTGGTCTTGTTTTCCCTCCATACCTACACAGTGAATGTCTGACAGGCTGAAAACTGCTCATTTTTGGATGCTATGGCTGGCTCTCCTCAGGGGCTTAATGCAGATGGTGTTACAGGAAGAAGTGAAGTCAGAAACAAATGAAGATAGCCAGGCTTTACRCCACAGCTGCTACTGATCTGCTGGAATGATGGATCTGGTCTTATRTAGGACCACATGTTGTAGAAAGAAGGGAGAATGATGGCACAACTGTTGGAGCTGGGAAATTGCTGCCCATGGGCGCATGGGTGCTTCCTTTTGGGAATCCTCAGGGTTTGTACAGCTGTCAGTTTGTCCAATCCCTCTCAGCTCTGTCTTCAAAGCAGCAGTGAGAGGAGGCATCYATGTAAAGTGGATTGCATGGGATTGCATTAACCTCTGCGCTCTGTTGGCTGTGCAGAAGCAGGTGAGATACTTTGCAGGATTGGAAGAAAACTT